TCCGCAACTGAAACAAAAAGTGCAGTGGAGCCACCTTATCTTGCTCAAGCCGTGCTGGCAGCAGCCTGCCCTGACCTGAGGCACGAGCCATTGTTAAGGGTATAACACATTTACATATTTTGCAATAAAACATCAGTTATTTGCATTACTGTGTCAAGTTTTATTTGATTCTTTCACCTAAAAATGACTCATTTTCCTTTCTTGTATTTTAAAAACCAACTACTCTAAGCTTGTTTGAGAATAATCAAAAATTGCCCATTTAGCTAGAAGTCATTTTCTTTTCAAAAGGCAAATGTTATTTAATCTTTCAGCTGTTCATTGTGCCATCATAAATACTTTCTTTTCAGCACAGTTGTGGGGACTGAAATGAGCCCACTAATTGCCTCCCATTTCGACTGACATGTGGTGGTTTAGTGGAAAGAGAACACAGCGGGGAGAAGGAAATAGGAGGCTGAGAAAATGAGAGCTAATTATTTTCACTGCCTCATGTCAGGCTCTGTGTCAGCCTTGTTTTTACAAACTGGAAGGTTTAGCACTAAATAAAACAAACTGGCGTCATGTTTTTATATACTGGCAGTGTCATGGAAGCAGCTGCACATCTCAAAGACAATATAATGCCTGCATTCGCATGGACACCATCTGACAGCCACTGTGAGCCACTGCTAATGAGGATATCACAGTGGTGCCAAGTGAAAGGTGCTGAATTATGTATGATTCTTCATCAGTGCAGCAATAGTCCTGTACATCATTATGAGACATTGTTTTGCTGAAGAGATTAAAACATTCTTAGTTCCAGACCCTGCAACCTATACACGCTACAAGAGGTTATTAATGGAATTTTTAGGGAGAGTTTCTTGTGGATTTCTTTTTGGTTAAAAATATCTCATGGGACAAAGCCACGGAGGGTCATGACACTATATATATAAAGAAGAGAAGCAAATTAACCATAATTGTGTTATCTGCCTTTAAATCCAGAATAATAAAATATAGTGTAGCTGGGTGATACATGATGATAAATAACCCAAGTGCTGTCACTAGATGTTCAACTCTAATGCCTTTAAAACAGCAGGTTTCAGCAGCTGAGATAGATAATAGCTAAGAATGTAAAGGAGCTTCTGGGGACCTAAATCATCAACATGCTACTACTTTTAGTGCCAGCATGACCAACATTTTTTTTTTCTTATTTGTTTCATCTGGCGTTACATCTTATTTTTCTTTTAATATCCAGTTGCCTGCTACAGTGCCGTTCCTGTTTTTCTCTTGAATCACACACACATACAAAAAAAGTTTATTGCAACCACTGATTTTAAAATGAATGCTGGATTTGGGCCTCCTTGAAAAACAAGATTTCTCCCCAGCAAGAGTTTTAAGCTGGTGTTGCAGGAGACATGTTTGTTGTTTAAAGCCTATGCTCGATCTTCATTTCTCTTTCGTTTTTTTGTTACAGGCATTAGTAAGTATGGGGTTAAGGGAGTATTTTCAGCACAGTACACAGGAGACCTAATTTTTAAAGTGTTCTTATTTGCTGTTTTGAAGCTGAGGGCTAGTGGCTCAAAATATGTTTGTGCTTTTCTGTTTCTGCAGTCGTTTGCAGGGGCTGCTGATTTATTAGCATTGTCATCATGTTACTCAGACCTGTTTTTCACACGGAGTTTTAGTGATTGTACCTCTCAGTTATGAAACTACATTCTTTTTAATCAAAAAGCTGAAATTTTTATTAAAATAAAGCATTAAAGTGTTGGGAGGTATTTTAAGATTTGATTTGCTAGAAGTCCAGGGAAATTTTTTTGAAGGATCTTGTTCAAACATATTTATCAACTAGATATTCTGAATCAACCATTTCCAAATTATTTTCCTACATCCCATATTGTTAGTGTATCCCACTAAATGTAGTCTTGCTCCAAGAAATCTTATGGTTCCAATGCATCAAAGAAATGAAATACATACAATTAATCTAACCAATTTTTGACTTAAGTGGTTAAACATATCTTTTCTATTCATTGCCAAATAAAAACCTACAAATTAATTGGAAATCAGGGAAACATTGTCCCTTTTTGCTGCACACAAATCTAGCATTATTTACTGTGTGGGTGAATAAAATAGCAAGTTTTTACGTAAAGAAGCAAACTGTATATCTTATATAGTTTCAAAGTGTCTTTACTCTAAAGTCACCTGGATTCTATCTTTCTCTTCCATTCTTCTCCTTTCTTTTTTTTTTTCCCCTTTCCTTTTCCCTTCTCCTGCTTTCTTTCCTTTCTACATCTTGTCTCTTTCTCTCCCTCTTTTCCTTTTCCGTTTTTCTTCTCTCTCTGATTTTTCTTTGGTCTCTCTCTCTCCCTTTCTCCCTTTCCTCTGACTGTTTTTACAAAGTGAAAGCCTTACAAATGCAAAGCGGAAACCTTTCCAAACAAAATGAGTGTTTTTGAGAGACTACTGAGGGCGCATTTAATGCTGCAATTCGCTCTTCTATCTGCGCTGTGCGATGGGAGAGAACGCGGCGAGGACCGAAGCTCTGGGGGCTGGGTTTTAGAGATGTTTTTAGAGTGTATTTCCTTTTATAAAGCTGCAGTTGTAGGCAGGAGAAGGCGGTGTTTGTGCAGGGTTCCTGTGTCCCCAGCTGTTGGGGCAGCCCCATGCTTTGCCGTGCCCAGGGGGTGCCTGTGGGTGCCGCTGTGCCGGAGAGGTGCTGGAGCCACCGCGAGCTGCCAGGTGCCCAGCACCCCTGGGCCTTGTAGTTACCGTTATATTCACTTTTCCTTCGGACAAGGTTGCTCGATTTGCACTGTTTACTAGAATAACCTCGGGTTTGTCAGATTTGGTCTGCAGGGTGACTGCATTGCACCAGATTTATGAAGCCAGGGGAGCCTGGAACAAGGTGCCTCAGGAAGGAAGGGGCTGCAGCTCTTGGGTGCATTGCAGTAGTCTCATGTCACGACACACGCAGCATTAACGTGATGATATTTTATACCAATAATCTCTATTTGACTTAGGTGTTTTTTAAAAAGTAATAAATGTCAGTGAGGGAAGCACTGCCCTGCTTCGTCTTTGAGCCTCAGGGCAGATCGGTCCTAGGGAAGACACACAGCATCAGCTTAGGAAAATGTGGAAAAAGTCAGGCAGCAAGAAGGCCACGGAATGAGGAAGAGAGTTTGAAATGCAAGAGGCCAGAGATCACTCACTCCGTCACTGCTGTTTGGCTGTGCGAGTCCTTACTGGACATGGGGGCCTGGTGTTTGGTGCTGCGTGTGCCCAGGAATAGCCAGGGGGAACCCCCAGCTACAGCCTGAGGGAACAGCACAGAGGTGTGCGAAGAGCTGCGGTCCCCACCAGGACACGAAGGTGAAGCGTTGCGGCAGCCCTGCACATTAAGCTTGGCTGCTGGGACCGCGGCCTGGCACCTTGGCTGAGATCCCTTCCCGCAGAAGCACTCGCTGTGGCGTTGCTTAAATTAACTCTCACGTCCACTCTGCTCGCAAAGCGCAGAAGCTTTCAATGGGGACAGATGGACATGCAGGGCCAAATGCTTTCATAAGCATAATTTATTGTTGTGGTTCTGAAATGATTATACTCCAGTTTTCTTTTATCTTAGAATTGCCGATTCAATGTCTGATTAAAAGCTTTGAGACTTTCGAGGGCTGAGCTCCTAAGTTACATTTATGAGAGATGCACGTGCAAACACTAGCAGATAATTGCATGTACAAATGGATACTTTTTAGGCTGCTCTACGTTTGTGTGTGCAAATAACTGCTTATGCAAGCCCTTGGCCCTAAATGGCCATCTGTGTCCCCATTGAAAGTCTTTGCATTCTGTGAGCAGGGCTGAGGAGGCAACTACTTGTGCTAACGTGAGGTAAGGGAGCACCTGCGTGGTGGGCAGCATAGAGCTCTCTCTGGGTCACCAGGACACCTCTCTGGGTCCACCAGGACATCCACAGGGAGCTTCAGGGGAAGGAAATGTCTTCCTTGCCTCCATGGGTCAGGGCAGGTTTCACTGCAGGCCTCAGGGAGTCGCTCAGCAACACGTCTTTGGAGGAGCTTTGTGCACGCACCTAGCAGTGTCTCATGGCCAAACTGCTTGGTGGGTGCAGTGTGAACTGCTGGCTGCTTGGCTCGGCGGCAGAGCTCAGTCTCAGATGTCCTGCTGCCCATCACCCTCCTGGCTCCGTGGCACGCTGCTCCCGGTGCTGAGCCCGCACGGAGGCACCCATGGGACACGGCCAGCAGCGTGGGCGTCTTGCAGGCTCACACCAAGGGTGGTGTTGAATGCCAGGTCCCAGATTAACCTCACAGGATTATTTAAGGACACTTTGAAGTGCTTTGTTCTACCAGGTTCATTATTACTGATTCCTAAGGTGAGGTCCCTTATAGCTAGCGATCCTCCTGGAAGGGGGAGCCAAGGCAGCGCAGGATCCCGCTGGACACTCATATCTGAAGCAGCTGGGCTGTAGTGACCAGCCCGTTCTCTTAGTTCCGACTTGAGCAACTCTCTCAGTGCCATTCACAGACCCTCTGCTCGTTCGCCCCAGGCTTTACTGGTCCGTTTTCACAGGCCTGGCTGCCATTATTTAGCCTTGGCTCGGCTTGCCCGGCCTGCCCCCCTGCCCGCCTTGGCTTGCGGGTGCCGAACCTGCCTCCGAAACGGCGCTGCCCTCTCCCGCACCGCTCCGAAACGGAGCTGCCCTCTCCCGCCCCGCTCCGAAACGGCGCTGCCCTCTCGAGCCGCGCTCCGAAACGGAGCTGCCGTCTCCAGCCCCGCTCTGGGCAGGCCGCGCGCCACAGGCACCGGTCAGTGCTGGGAGCGCAGTCACAAGAGGGGCCAAAGGTTCCCTTTATCAATACTTAAAAATGTGCAGATCTTAACTACACATTGCAAATACTTTTAAAAAAAAAATTGTTTATTTTTTACTTCTGCTGGTTTTGGTTTGTTTCAGTTTTCAGTTTTGTTTCTTTTTTACTATTTGTATTCTAACAATCTAGTTTTTTTATTATTATTATTCATAGGACTGTAAATGGAAAATGTACATGGAGATGGATGGGGATGAAATTGCAATAACCTACATAAAAGATGTGACATTCAACACTAACCTACCTGATGTAGAGATTTTAAAGATGACAAAGGTATTTACAGCCTTAAAGCTTTCACAAATCCACAGATCTCAAACAAAGACATTAAAATACCACAGCAGTCGACTTTTGTGCTTGTGGAAGCTCAGTCTCTTGACAGCTTTTAAATAAAATGCACATTTTAAACAAATTTGTATCATAATAGGAGTTAGGTATTTTGGTTTTCTTTTAAGCTGACAATAATGTTAACAATAGAAAAATAAGCGATGGAATTAATTTATATTTTCTTATTTTAATTCCATGTTATATCTTCTGAATTTATTACCTCTTTTAAAGAAAAACATGTCCAAAAAATTACTTTCCTTTTTAGGAGAAGAAAGCGATTTAAATGTTCCAATTTGAAACTTCATGTGATTTGTGTGGGTGTTTTTTTTTTTTTCTTCTTTTTCTATTTTTTAACAAGGTTTGAGAACTTTTATGTGGTTCTAATCTCCCACTTTCGTGCACTGACAGGTTCCAAAGACAAAAAAGCCATCAGCACGTTGGGTGCTGGCAGTGTGGCACTGAACAATTGCAGTTCAGCACCACTGGGCATTTAACCTTCCTTCAGAATCTGCTGATTTTAACATAAGCAAAAGAAGCTTTGCTAATGCACAGGACACTGTGTTTGCTGTTAATTTATTTTATTGTTTTTTACTCCACTTGATACTAGCTACCAAAATACATTTCTAAGTGAAAAAGCATACAGCTTGATTACCAATTGGAATGCTGCTATAATGTGCACTAATAAAAAAAAAAGAAAAGAAAACTACTGAATGCTTTAGCTGGGTATGCCTTCTGCAACAATTATTTTAGGGCTTCTTTGGTTATTTTTTCTAAAAGAAACCTCTTGAGAACTAAAATTATTGAGAGTCTGATTCTCCTGGGCAGAATAATAGGGAAAATATAAAATATATGTTGACAAAACATATTTTTAATATAAAAACTATTCCTTTTTATGCATGTTCATATTGTTATAGTTAGTGATTTGTAGAGCTTTACAGTTATTTATTATTAATAGTATTTGCATTTTTATACCACTGTTCAATTTTTTAAAACTTCCATTTGGGGCTTTTTCATTTTTTCCTTACCAAAAAAAAGAAGTTTAAGAAAATCATCAGACATAGTAAGATTAACATACTTTTTTTTATTGAAGTGAGTATCTCCACAAAACTTTAGTTATTTCTTCTTCCTCATTTCTGAAGTTCTTTCACCAAATTTTGCATGGGAACAAGAATTAAAAAGGATGATGCCCCAATGAGATAGACATGTTCTGTAGCTTACAGACAGTTAGCTGTCCTCAGCTTTCCTTTTATATACAAAAAGGAAATAAATAATTTCAAAATATATTACTTTGTCTGGTAGCTTTTTAAGAAATGTATTGATGCTAACTATATGGGCAAGTATGGAAAAACGGGCAAAAGCTAAATGTAGCTTTGGAGTATTTTAGTCAGGAGATGAAGAACCTCTCATAAAAATCCACCCCTGTTTTTTTCAGCCACCATTTGTAATGGAGAAATGGATTTTGGGAATTGAAGAAGGCCAGTCTGTAGAATGGATTGTCACATATGAGGTAAGTTCTAGCAAACAAAAAAAATGTTTATCCAAGATAAAACCTACATGGGAGAGGCTGAAATAGTATCCTCCGACTTTGTTATTTCCCTTAATCAAGGCTTAGCACCCTGTAATGACTGTAAAAGCTACGGTTCAGAGCAAAGGCAGAACTAGGTCTACAGAGACCGTGTTCTCAGACTCCTGGCCAGGACAGCTCTTTTTCTTATGAAAGAAAACTCCTTTTACCTGAAGTAATAGTCAACGTTGCTGACGTTACCTGGAGAGACAGTGTTTTTTACCTTTTCAGCAAAGAGCTAATTAGCAGAGCTCAGGGGCAAGAGGAGAAGAAAGAATAAGAAGTGGAGAGTAAAATAAAATAAAATCTGGAGACAATTTAGCAACATTTAATGTGATAGAAATTAGCCTTTGTAAAAGGAGATTGTGGTTACTTACAAAAGTGTTTTTATAAAGACCAGTGACATGCTTCACACTGAGGCTAATAATTGAAATTCCAGCTCCGTCCTGAGGCAAGGATTCAAGCGGTGATGGAGAAACAGGAAAATTCTGGACCGTGTTTGCCAGGCTTAGAAGTGAAGAATGGTAGTTTTCTGTAGCAAGAAGAATAACCCTAGGTTTCTTTTAGTCTGAAGTTCCTCCCAGGAATCACAGGGACTTACTACAGAACTGAGGCACATGCTGCTCCAAGAAGGTTATCATGGAGGGAACCCCTGCAAAAATACCTACTTTGTCCTGCCTCTTTTAGCAGAAAGCACTGTCTGTTTGACACATTAATATAACTATCAGAATACATTCTGTATGTGTTGAGAAATGCCCTCAGATCTTTTTTCCACATGGTACATTAATTGAAAGAGTTTTTCACTACTACATTTTTAGCATAATCATTAAATACCAGCCAAAATTATCTGGAGTCTAAAAATACTTGAGAGATGCTGAAGTGCCTTTGCAAAACCAACTCCTTTCCCAAACTGCTGCCGCTGCCCAGGCACTAGTGGAAGTTCCCGGGTAGGAACTGTGCATCGCTGTGTGTTATATCCTAATTGGGTGCTCTTTCCTGAGCAGAGCGACGTCAGGACTCCCAAAACCACCCGGCACATCCAGGGTATCCGCTGGGGCAAGGTGAAGGCGGAGGATGAGGTCGAGGCGGTGCAGCTCAGGATACAGACCTCCCTGCCCAACTCGGAGGGCAACTCTCGGAGCAGGTCCAATTCAAGTAAGTCGCCACAATCCCGCTGCCTCCCGCTGCTGCTGCCTGTATAGCTGACACACAGCCATTCAGGGCAAGGTGCAAGCAGGGAGAACATCAGAAAGCAAAGGCTGCTGCTCTGTTCTGATGACAGAGCCCCATCTTGCTGCTCCAGCCTGTGCTGAGGTGCCCGAGATGCCCAGGGTGGATGCATGCAGGAGCCCCCTGGCACCTATGACCTACCCGTTAGGTAGCCTATATCACAGTGGCATTTGAGGAGGGTGTCCTGTATGGATGCATACTGGCAGTATCCATTGTCCAGTATGGATGCATCCAGTAGTTCATGATTATTAGCTACAGCACTTTTTGCCTGCTGTGGTCCCTTGCAGTTGCACATCGTGAGCAGAGACAGAACTCACATCCTTGTGCTCCAAAACCCCAAGTGCTTCACATCGAAGTGAACTGGGATTTCCCCCAGAAGGAATCATTCTTAAATACAGACACTTTTGCTACCATCCTTAGCCCTCCTGTGTAGAAGACCCGGTCCTTTGGAAAGTTCACTTATGACTGTTCGGGTTGGGACAACTGAGAGGGCAGCACAGGAGCTGGGAGAAGGTACACTGGTCAGTGGAGGATGGATGTCTTGGATTATATACCACTACTGCCAAATGTAGAACAGTGGCCTGAAGAATAAAGAAGGCTGGTTTAGACCACAGACATGCCTGAAATAGGCAATCTTACTCCTGTGGAATGGCGCCTTGATCCAATTACAGCAAAACTGTGTTTTCTGATACAGGTGAGACCTTGAGCGTGTTCTAGAAGATAGGTCTTCCTTGCAGATTAGCTCTGGTGATTTTGTCCTGAGCCTGCTGTTTCCAGATTTAGAAAGTCTGTGTTTTACATCCACAGTCTCAGTAGAGGAACAGAGAGGCATGACAGAGAAGACAGTATTTATAAATTACCTTTCACCATGCACGTTTCTTTTAAAACTGTGACTTTGAGGGAGGTTAAGAAACAGAGAAGGCAATTCCCATCTGTCTTTTTGTGAAAGGAGGTTCATCTCTCAGTGCAGACAGAGCTATCTGCTGTGGAGATGTCACAGTCATACTTTGACAGGAAAGACAGTTTTCTTTTGACATATTTGACATTAAGTTGAAGTGATTTAAATCTCTTGGGATTCTAGCAAAATCTGAGGAAAGGAGGAATGGAAGAGACTATCCATTACATCTTAACAGGAGCAATCTTAACAAGGACAGAGTTAGTAACCAGCTTTCTGAGAACTCCCCACAGGAGATGCAGTGACAGTGTTGCTAATAAGAGCCAGAGGACTCGCACTGGAGGAATGCTTTCCTCAGGAAACCGGCAATAAGATGACAGAGGATCTCCTCTGCTGTGTGTCCTCTGCTGTGCATAGTAACATTTCAGTCACATTTAACCTGCTGCAAGCTGCCAGGGTTAGAGTTTTCTGCTGGAATGATATTAGCAATCTTTAAGGACAAATCATTCAAATCTCTCTGTAGCAAAATCACTTAAGTTGCTCCCTGTGGGCTTTTGGCCAGTGCTGTGGCCTCTGATAAAAGGCGATCCTGGCCTCAGCTGTACCCATAAAATGAAAAAAAAAAAAAGGGCAGCTTTCACAGTCCAAATGAAAAATTTAGAGATACTGTATTTGCTATAGGCTTTCATGCCAGCCCCAGGGCTGGCTTTCAGCAGAGCTTCAGTCTGATCTCTGGGAGCTACAACTTTCGTTAAGATCCTGGGACTGTAACAGCAGGGGTGAGGGCACCGTAACCCCATGGGTAGCTCATAGTTAAGTGCTCTCTGTCCATGCCATCCTAGATGGAGTGTACTGCCTCACCGTCTTTCTTACAAATACAGGTATTTTCTCTGTGAAAGCCAGGTGAGGGCTAGCCACTTCAGCTGTGGCTGAAGCGTATGCAAAGGTATCCGCTCGGTAGCTTCATATCCCAAGGTTGTCCTGAAGGACTCTAGGCTCTTTTGCAATGAAAGCTGTGGAGAAATCTGTGCAGGCGGCCAAGAGCAACTCAGGAAATGTTTAAAGCCCACTTGAGTTGCAAACAGTGGGTATGTTTGGGAGTGGAAACCCACTGGAGTGCACAAATTCACTGGATGATTCAATAAATACTTTCTAGTCTCAGCTCCATAATCTGTACTGGCATAACACACATTTACATCATTTTGAAGTATGTAATGCTGAACATCCTCAAGCCTGGGATTATCTTCTGTAAAGCTGGGAGGCAAAGGGCAGCGTCAGATTTACGGTGATTCTTCAGATGGGCCAAGCCTCACACCTCAGGTAAACCACAATGCCATTTTCCAGCAACTCATACAAAGCTGGCCTTGTTTCCCTTTCTCCCCTCGCAGGCGTCGACAGCGAGTGGATGAACACCCTGAGAATGCACCAGATAGCGAAAGCCTCGTCCCTGCAGCACAGCCACCCGCACAGCCCCACCACCGTCACGCACTACCTGCCCTTCCTCCGGAGCCAGGACTCCTACGCCGCGGCCGTGAGGAGGACACGCAGGCCCGTCAACTACCAGTTCACCCCCATCAGCCATTCCAGAAATTCCTCCCCGCTCTCGCATAGCTTGGTGAGAAACCTCTCCAATCTCCACCTCAACTCGAAGGGCAGCAGCAACTCCAGCACGGCTTCGGACACGGCCTCGGAGCGGGAGCGGGCGTCGCGCAGCGGCGCCTCGCGCAGCTCCTCGGACGGCAGGCGCAGCGGCACGAGCTCCCCCGTGGCGCCGCGCCACGCGGCCCGGCCCTACCGGAGGTCGCCGCACGCGGCCGCCTCGGCGCCCAAGGCCATCCCCGGCATGCCGCTGCAGAGCGAGGGCATGCCCCGCAGGAGCGAGGCCGAGGGCAGGGCCGGCGAAGGAGGCTGGATAAAGGTGCAGCACTCCAAGAAGGCCCACAGGCAGGCGGCCGGCAAGCCGGGCAGAGAGAGGGCCAGGGGCAGCTGGCGAGGACGGAGACTCTTCTGAGGCGGGAATCTGCGGGTGGTTTGCGATGAGTTTTGTTCCCTTTTATTTAACAGAAGGTTGAGGTGAAACAATGAGAATGCATGTGCCTTTATTTAATGTTTTCCTCCTGCTGGTGCCCAGCACTGAAGTCACGACGCTACCTCTCAGTTCACCTGCCCGGCAGCGCGGATCTGGGCGCTGCTCGTGGATGGGAATGGCCAAAGATGCCCACCTTGTCATGGGAACTGCTTTCATTCCCAGAAGAGATCCCTTTAATTCGATCTTCTCCCCTCCCTTTGGCTGCTCATGTTCTTAGCTGAATGGATATCCGTTAATTTGCTTAATATTTCAGTAATAAAACCAGTATGGCACAGCAGCGTGCCATAACACCAGGTTCTTCATTTTACTTCATTTCCCTGCAGCTCTTTCTCTGGATATCAGGTCCAGCCGTGTGTGCAGTTTCCCCACCGACTACCGAAACTGCTTCTGCCAGGGCTGGAGGAAGAGGTCATGCTTTAGCAGGTCAACATAGTCAGAAAAGCACAGCCATGCATGGAGACTTTTCTTCTGGCCCAGACCAGTGACTTCACTTCTGCTTGCCATCCCCTTCCTGGAATTTCTCATGCTTCTCTTTATGAAAAACCCTGGCACCAGGTATATGACACCACAGAGCAGATGCTGTGACATCCGTAGTTGTCACAAGGAGAAAGAGAAAAAAATGGCTTTGTGCTCTTGGAAAAAGAAAAGAGAGGGAGAGAGAGGAAGACATTGCCTTTGTAATAGTTTCATCTAAACCTACTGAGGTCTGTGGTAATGTTTATCCCTGGGCAGCAGGCATTTTTTAATTGAATTTTTAAATGTGGCCAGACTGTGCTGCTTTTGTCTTTCAGTCTTTGGTAGTAAAGGGGAGGTCAGCAAAGCTGGTGATTAATGTGGTCTTCAGCTCTATTGAGAACAAAGGCACAGGTGCAGACAAACTTCACAAAGTTTCTTGCTGGCCTTTTCACTCCAAGCTGATTTCACACAATTAAAAAGGAAAAAAAAATATATATAAAAGTGTGTGTGTGTGTGTGTGTGTGTGTATATATGTGTGTGTATATATATATATATATATATATATATATATATATATATATATATAAAGTTTCCAAAGATGCAAAAGGAAAGGGGAAAAAAAAAAAAAAAAAGAGAAGCAGAAAAAGACAGCTCAACCCCAAGCAACACATGGTACCATCTGTAAAGTCACTGGAAGAAACTGCAGCGCTGTCATTTAAGTATCTTCTGGCAGTGGTTAAGAGCAGAAAAACATAATGGGCTTTATCTAGAAGTGAACGGGGCTGTATTCATAGCTGCATGGAAACAAACACTGTTATGGGTTTAAATTGGTTGAAGCGGGTTAGTAACCCAATTTCTGACCCTTGATTTACTCATGCAGAGAAAACCAGACAACTGATTTGGGAAACACAGGCCACCCAACACTAGACATTTCTTTTCCACAACCCAGAAGACTTGAGTCTTGTATTGTGAAATTTGGAGATGCATCATCTGGCCACCTGACTTGGGCCTGTGCAAAGCCTAGAGAGAAACTGTGACTCTGGAAAGGTCCTTAGAGGTCATCAGGATGATAGTTACATGAGGATCATAGTTACATGCGCCTGAAGAAAGGCCCTACCAGCAGACATGCGAGGCTGTGGACTGGTAGTGGCCATCCAAGATGTATCAGCTGCTTGCAGCTGATTATCAAAATGTCCAAAAAGGATTCCTCTGCTGTTTGTAAGCAATTTAGTGCTGTGCCTAATTTTAATCTGCAATGTACTGTCTGTCCACATCTGTTGTATTAAAGTGTTCATTAGCATTTAAAGGAGAAGCGGATGGTATTGATCACGCCTATTAAAATTAAACAATCATGCAATAGTCACTGATTAAAAATTCTCTTGCTAAACCAGGATTGCTGTGTAAAGCAACAGTAAGTTAACTAGTCAGGAAAAAATCTTCATCCCCAATGTGTGCCCCATCTGTGGCACCAGAGCTATTAAAATAGCAGGAAATAAATGATTCAGTTACAAACCATTTTGAACACCTGAAAAAAACCCACCATATTGGAATACAGTTGCATACATTTCCCACTTCCAGTGTGATTTTATTTTTTAATTGCAAAACACATTTCATATATTCTCCCTTGGACCGTCTTTCTTCTTAACTCCGTGTAAGTAAAAAACTCTCAGAAAATGGGCTTTTGCATCTCATTGCCACTACTCTCAACACATCTAGTCCTTGGTAATAATTACTTATAAAGCAAAATGTGCTTTTAGAGCCTCTTTCATCGCCCAGTACTTTCCTAAGCACAGTGATTTATGGCCATGTTCTACCAACTTGCAGCCACCTCCACCTGGAAGGCTGTGCACAGCAATATGGTAAACTGGACAAACACATGTCAACAAATCCAACAAACTAGCCTTTTCTCACAAATCTGTGAAAAAACGGTCTATCTAGATTTGCACCCTAAGAACAGGAACATGATTCCCTCAGTCCGTGGGCAGATCCTCGGTAGCACTACGTCTCCCATCCATGGCTGGCTGGGCAACCAGAAACTATCATTACCAGAAATCCACCCCTAGCTTTCCTGGCTCTCTTTCCTTTTGTTCTTCAGAGCCTGGTGTGCTCATGTTGCTGTTTCCTTAATCCCTGGAAGGGCTGAGCATGATCTGTGCTTTCCTCTTCCACAGTTCCAGACTCACAAGCTTCAGCGATAGCTGCTGGATTGGATGAGGAAAACAGTGGAGAATCACGAAGGAAAATTCAGAACTGAATGTCTGAAGTAAAGGAGTACTTGCATCCAGTGGAGAGACTGCTTATGAAATCATAGGCACGTTCTCCTTTTCTTTTTAACAAACGCGTGAGACGGTGACTGCCACGCGCTGCCACTCCTGCAGGCAACTTCTGACTCCAGCTCTCCTGGGGCAGAGGGACTTTTTCCAGGGCACAGGGCTTCTGGATGGCTGCTAGTGCCCATCCCTGCTGCTTGTTGGCTTGCAGGAAGCAGCGTTCAGGGAGTCAGGCCCTTGGGCCTCCTGAACCTCACAGGCCTCCCACAGTGTGAGGTGGCCGCTGCGTGAGCCAAGGGGCTCGGTGCTCAGGGCGTGGGGAAGGCACCTCAGGAACCAGCTCCGTTCCTGCCCTGGCTCCCGCGCGCGGCCGCGTGGGCCTTGGGCCTCGGGCGCAGCCCCGGCGCCAGCCAGCGGAGTCAGCCGCGAGGGATTTAATCCTGCTGCAAACCTCCCCACACACAGTGTTTGTACAGAATTTTCTTACTAATAAAGTGCCAGAGCTTAGCAGTTCAAAGCAGTTTGTCACGGGAAGTTGGAGGTTACGGAGGAGAAGCCAGTGCCGGCCGCACCGCTAACGAGGGTCTGCCGCGCCGCATGAGCGGCGCAAGGACGGGCGCCGTGTCACCGCCGGGCGTCGCGTCACCACCGGGCCCTGCAACGCTGTGGGGCCCCGTGACGCTGTTGGGCCCCGTGGTGTCACTGGGCCCCGCGATACCACCGGGCCCCACAGCGCGGGGCAGTTGGCCGCCATGCACGTCGGCACCCGCAACACCGCGCAGCAGAGCAACACAAGGGCCAGACCGCCACAGCAGCCACCCCACGGCTACGCAACCCCACAGCCGCGTGCCTGCAGAACATCCGCGGGATCCTCCGTGTGACCCGGTTTGTTCCGTGTTTTCTAAAGGAAATACAAATCAAGGGCTGAGAATGAACGGGCTGGGAGCTGGAGGCCCTGAAGTAGCTGCTGCACCTTAACAACAGCTACTTTTGATCAAGGTCTTTAGCAATGCATTTAGTGCTCCAGGATACTTTGCACATACCCAAGTACAAGGCCAAACATCTACAGTGAACAAAAACACTTCATAAAAATTAAACTCCTTAAAACTCTATCAGTCTAGCTCTAATTAAAGTAAATCCACAAAAGCAGCCAGGCTCCTGTCTGCAGAAGAACAAATGCCCTTTTCGGCTGCAGCCGATGGCAGGTTGCCTCCTGCACACCTCTGTGCCCCTGTAGCAGCACAAGCCCCTGGAGGGTGGCATGGGAACAAACACATCTGCCTGATCAGATCTTTTACAGAAACACACCTTTCCAGCGAAAGAAGATCAATTAGCGTGTTATAGGTTACCAATTTACAATTTACATCATAAACCAATGTCTGATTATTTTAATGCAGAACATGTTTAGCTTCATTTTGTTGCACTAGCGTCTGCAATAATACACTGTAATTTGCTCAGATGAAGAGGTGATTGGACAGCTCTTGCGGTAATTTTTAATTACTGTCATTAGTGGCCGCAATCTTGCTCCTTTCTAAGGTGCTGCGATTCGCGCTATCGCCCCGTGCCACAGGTACTGCTTTGCACACACTGGGACAGACAACGCGCTTCCCAATGGAGCCAAGCTGCAATCCCAGGTGGCCACGGCCCCACTCCGCCCCGCCACGCTCGCCACAGGCAGCACGCTTGGTGCTCCAGCCCACATCTGGGGCAGTCAGGAGCACCAAGCACGCTGCCCATGGCAAACGGGCCAGGCTGGGGCTGCAGCCATGCGGGACCATGGCTTGGCTGTGCTGAGAAGCGCATTGGCTTTTCCAGCGTTTGCCAAGTGGTGTTTTTTTCCTGGAAGGGATGAGGTTACACTGCAAGCGAGGAGCAGCCCCGTGCAGTCCCACATGGGTGGCGTTCCCGCTGTGCGGATTTGGAGGCAGGTTGGGCTCCCTGGCGCGCGGCCGGCCTGTAATTAAGGGCTTAGTGCACGGGGCTGCAGGCAGGGCGGCCGCGCCGCACGCGCTCAGGGCAGCCGCCGGCCCGGAGCCCTCGGCCGTGGCTGCTGCGGCCAGCGCGGGCCTGGTGCCAGCACGGGGCATGCATGTGCGGGTGGCACCGGGCACCCCCCCGCAGGGGGTGGGGGTGCGGGTGTCTGCATTTAGCTTTATTTTCTGTGCCTGGCTGTGCGGAGGCGCCCATGCCCAGTGCGGGTTGGTGTGACCAGGAGCCACGAGATGGTGTGCTGGTGGCACCCTGCTCCGGGGGAAACACTTCCCTTGGGAAGGGAGTGGAGGACACATGAAAAACCCAAGTGCTGCTGCCTGGAGTGTTTTATTATTAACTTCAGAGTGGGGGGGAAACTGGCGGCTCCGACACGTGCGGCCCTGTAGAGCACTGAGCGAACAGGCGGCCTTGGGCGCCCAGCCCGGCCCTCCTCTCCTCTCCTTCCCCCCCCCGCGCCCCGGGTTTCACGCCACGGCCGGGAGCGTTTCGCGCCACGGGGTTGGGCCCTGGCAGCTCCACAAATGCCCCACCCGCGGCGCGGGAAAAAAAATAATAAAAAATGCGGGAGCTCCCGCACCCGCCGCGCCGCACGGCTGCCCCTGCGGCCCGAGAGCCCCGCGCAGCCCGCGGAGCCCCGGCGGGCCGCACGGGACGAACCGGGCCGGGCCGGCGATAGCGGCTCGCTCTGCATCTGCCAGGACGCAGCGCGGGAAAGCGCCCCCAGTCCCCGCCCCCCGCCGGGCCCGGCCGCTTTGGCGCGAACCGTCAGTCGCCTCGTGCTGTTGGCGCGCGCCGCCCGCCCGCTCCCCGCCACTGCCGCCGCCGCCGCCGCCGCCATGGCCCCCCGGCGCCCGCAGGTGAGCGCCCTGCCCTGCCCTGCCCTGCCCTGCCCTGCCCGGGGCAGCCCGCGTGCCGCCGGCCCGGGAGGGAGGGAGGGAGCCGCGTCCCGGGCTGCGGGCGGCTCCGCGGCCAGAGCTGGCGCGGGGGGGTCGCGCCTCGAGGTGTGTGTGTGGGGGGTGGTCGCGCGGCCGTTACGGCCGTTACTCTGCGGCCGTTAGGCGGCGGGGCTCGGGCCGGGCCTTGTGCCGCTGGCTGCCCCGGTGCTGGGGGGGGGCCGGTGCTGGGGGGGGCCCTGGGCTCGGGCCTGCGGAGCCGCGGCGAGCGAAGCGGCAGTTTCGGAGATGTGGATGTGCAGCCCGGCCCTTTGCGCTGCGCAGCCAGTATTTGCCCCCACGTTAAAAGTAATGAATAATGGTGGCCTCTGGACGCTACTTGGGCTTCACTGCCATGTCTGGCTTTGGAAACGTCTCTCCTAGCAGCAATCCCCTTAGTTCAAGGTACTTGGATGATAGTCAAGCGTGTTAAGTGTCCCAGAACGTTCAGGCCTCCTAAGCCTTAAGTTAAGGTTGCTTTAACGGGGCAGCGTGGCGCAGCGGATCTCCCATGTCAGTGCTGTTGCCGTGTCTCTTTGGCAGAGACAAGGTTGCTTGGGAAGGAAGAACTTCACAGCATTCCGAAACATGAAGCTGATTCCCATGGAAACATCCTCATCCTCTGATGACAGTTGTGACAGTTTTGGCTCCGATAATTTTGCAAACACAGTAAGTACAGCACAAGAACAAAATGGAATGTGCAGTGTTGGTAATGACCCCCGTGCTTGTGCGTGATTAAGCCTGCTTGCTCTGCTTACATTCTTGTACAATAGTCACAGATCTGCACTGTGCACTGTAATTTCATTTCACTTTGCTTGTGCTTCTAGGTGGTAATTGTTGGAAGCAGATTAGCTATTTATTCCAGCCTTTGAAATGTCACCTAACCTAACATGCCTGATAATTTGCCACCACAGTTCTGAAACCACTTGTAAATCCCTGGACTGTTTTTCCCTTTATTACAAAAGCTATTTGCTTATAGTGTGCCTTTAACTGTGAATCGTTTTCTGTACAACTTCTGATAAAATATGTTTTATTCTTTATAGAAAGCTAAGTTTAGGTCAGATATTACAGAAGAATTAGCAAAAATCTTCTATGAAGCTTCTGATGATGAATCCTTCTGTGGCTTCTCAGAAAGCGAGATTCAGGATGCATTGGTAAGATGGTTGATTTTAATTTGTGGTTTCAATTATAAATTCTTGCGCATTTTTAATTAAAAGCAGTAGCAAATTCAGCTTAGAAGTACAGTGTTGTCAGAAAGAAACACTATTTCTATTCCAGTGTGTCAGCCCAAGTAGTTTATTGTCTCCCTAAAAATCAGTGAAGCACTGCAGCTCTGCAAGGCCAAAACAAAAGCTGCCATACAGATCTCGAAGTACATCCTGACGCTCTCCTGCCGGATTTCCCTCTTCAAGTAGAGACTCTTGCATTTCTGGTTTGCGTGGTGCCAAACGCTGTGCTGGCTCGGAGACTGCAGCAAACGTGAGAGAGATCTCTGTGTTCATTGGCATGCGGTGATCCCTGCGCTCCCCAGTGCCGCAGGAAATGCCACACGAAACACTGAACCCTTTGAGGAGGAGGAGGTGGAAACCCCCTCTCTGCCTTCCCTTGACTCCAGTGCAAGAGCAGTGTGACTGCTTGAAAAGACCAAGAGCAGAGCAGAGAGCGGTGATACCATCTGTGGTGGCATAGGATGAGTTTCTGGCGTGACCTCAGAGCGTGCTGAGGAATGACTGCAAGGGAATAGCACCTGGCTGGAGGAGGAGGAGGGGTGCCTGAGTTAATGTGTCTCAGCAGTGAAGAAACATGCAGGAGGCAAAGGGGCAACAGATAAGGAAGGAAAAGGAATCAATACCCATATGTGAATGGGCAAGCCAGAACCACATACCTTCAGTGTGTGTATGTGCTGATAAAACCCACGCAAATAAAGGTGGCCTTTTGAAGCTGAACTACACATGAAGCAAAAAGTCTCTTTTTACCTGTGACCCAAAATAAGATTAAGTCTTACTAAAACTGAAGTCATCTTCACCACTAGTCTGGCTACAAGACAGCTACAACAGAAACCAAGCTTCTCTGGTGCGTTTCAGTTTTACAGGGTAGCTCTCCCTGACAGCCTTTTACCATATCTATCTATCAGTCTCTCACATGCACACACACCCTTACATGGTTTAGAGCACTAGGACCTATAACTTAGAAATGAAAGTGTAGATTTGAGCTGGATATCATTTTTATGCCAGCTTCCCCAAAATACAAAGTTTACAGAGTTGTCAAACTGTATTTAATTGCAGCAACTTACTTGGTTTTATGTGCTTTAATTCAGTTCTTGTTTGTTAACAGAAGCTGGACTCGGATTCAGAGGAGAATGATGTAAATGCTGAAAATGGGATAACTCGACAAAGACAGAAATGTTCCCTTCCTCTAAAAGTAGCTATGAAGTTTCCACTCCGGCGATCGAAAAGGAGAAAGGATGAGATGGACTCTCTTCCTGAGGAGACGGTGCCTGATCCAGATTCAGATTCTGACTCTGAAGAAAAGAGATCCATGTTTTTAGAAAAAAGAGCTTTAAACATAAAGGAAAACAAAGCAATGGCAAGTACTTAGTCTGTCTTTATCCCCTTCCTTGACAGGTAGCCAGCTCTCCTTCACTGTTCAGATTAACTGTAATTAGAATTATAGTAAGGCTTTAAAAGGAGTTTATATTCCTAAGATTTCAGTCTGATACTTTGTTCACTGGCATGTGAAAATCCATAGACTGAATAGTCATTTAGGGGAGGAGAAAAAACAAATTCAGGTTTTAAAGCCCTACTGTTTGTTTAGGTTGCCCTAATCTATTAGTCTAATAGCACATAAATGTCTTCTTAAGACTCTACTTCCTTTTTCTTTCTTTTGTTAGCTTGCAAAGCTAATGGCCGAGTTGCAGAGTGTTTCGGGTATCTTTGATGGCAGAAGATCATTGCCAGTTGCCAGTCATGTAAGTATAAACTTTACTGCACTTGTCTACGGATTTGAGAGCCAAATTCTGATGTTGTAAACCATGATTCTCTGATAAAAAACTTAATAAGCCAAGTAAATCAAAGTAGAGCTCTGGATTTTATTACTTACTAAACAAGTAAGCAATTGTGCAAGTCCTTATTGTGCAAGTCTCTTTGATTTGTGTCAGTATAAAACTGGTCAGATATAATTCATACAGGCCTAGCTGTCTGCACAGGCCAAGCAAGCCTCAAAGGATCCTGAGCAAATATGGATCCTGGCAAACACGAGAGATGAGAGGGACAGCCCGAGCTTTGAAGTTCAGGCCTCAATATCCCTTCTGTTTGGAGTCTTGAGAAAAATAGGACGTTGGGCCCAACTAGGCCCTTTAAGGTATAAGGCTGAGAATTGCACTGCTAATTTACCTGAAAGCCTTGTGAAGGTGGGAGCAGCAATAAAAGTGACAGCTCTTCACAGATTAAATCCTGCTGCTATGCGAGGGAATTACTGTGTCCATGCAGAGAAGAGATACAAATGTGCCACTCTGGCTCTTCCTCTGGAGCTTGCTAAACTCTAGAGGATGAATTTGATGAATTTGCCAAGGATGCTTTTGCCTTTTTTTTTTTTTTTTTTTTTTTTTTTCCTCCTCTCTCTTCTGACTGAGATTGGAGAGGAAAGGGAGAGGGATTCTTTTGGGGGAGAAAGGAAGAAGGACTGTGTTTTAGGGAAGGAATGCATAGTGGGGATAGGGAATGTCACTTTGGTTTTGAACCCTTCTATAAGGGGCTCTCGTTATTTTATCCAGGCACCAAAGCGACTTCCAAGACGCTCTCTTCCCAAAAGCGCTCTGAGGAGGAACCCAGACCGGAGTTCTCGGCCACACACAAGATCCAGGTCCTTGATTGAAGGGCCGCCTACTCCTTTACCAGAAGATGATGATGAGGAGGATGATCGGTACTTCTTAGTGAGAAGAAGAAAGGTGTCTGATGAGTACCTGGAGGTATGTGGGGCTTTTAGTTCTTCAGCTAATGAAGATTTTTTTTTTCTGTCTCTTATGAAAAAGTTGAAAGTTCTTAGAGAGTTAATTCGAATTGTGAATATTTCATGGACTGGAAAGAAGTACAGAGAACGGCATGTTGTGCATGTTCTCCTTCTCACCCTAGCCCCTCATTCTGGAGCAATGATTCCCTCTTGCCCTCCAGCAGCACCCAAGTAACAGTAACCACTTAATTGGTTAATAGCTTCAGATGCTGAAGCTGCATCCATTTCATATGTTCTTGCCCC